ACAGTGGCGGTCCTACGGTAGTTTTCTTTTACCTTCTTCATATAAATGAAGGGAATTTTTAACCGAAGGAAAACTTTTTGGTTGTATTTTCTTAAGTGAACCGCTTCTCCCATTATTATTGTGATTATTATAACTTTCATTCTCGTACACTAATTTCTATTAATTTTTGTTCTTTTTTCTATCTCTTGACAATCTCATTCTTAATGTGTGTGGTATATAAATACTTTGGCGTCTCTTTATACCAATATTTATATGTTTAAATAAATAGTTACTGACTGTTGAACTGATTCGTGTAGGTAGGTGAAGACTAGCTAGTTTGGGCTTTGTCTCATTACAATAACCAGTGGTTGAAGAGATTGGGTAAAATGGCTCAGAATCGGTCAAAGTGAAGAAGATGCATTCACTCTTTGTCTTCCCACATAATTTTTAAAATTATTTTGTACTTTTTACTTCATTAATTTTATCCTTTCTTCTCGCAATATAGTGTCTAATCTCTTCTACTTCTTACACTGATAGTGTTACTAATTCTATTAGTCTAGCGTTTATCTGGATAATTCCATCTCGTTGTGCTGAATGATATAAAGTGTGGTAATTTGAACCGAAGAACATATATGCCAGGTTTCTTATTACTGAGTGACTGACGGAAGTGGATAATAATAACCAATATACTGAAATGTTGTAAGTATATTTTAGCATTTAAAAATGTTTGACCTCAAATGTCTTAGTATGGAGGATTGTGAAATAAGTTCGCTCTCTCTCTAGAAATGTATATATAGAGCGACATATTTCCAGACACTACTTAATGACTTTACGTGACATTAATGCTTTTAGGAAAGAAAGACGATAAAAAGAGAACACGGCACTAAAAGAGAGGTGATCTAAATAAGTAAGGAATTATCTCTCATCAAAGTCTGTGGAGAACAATAAGATGGGCGGGGACGTTATGGCTAATCAGCAATAAAAAGAAACTTCTCAGAAACATTTAGAAAAAGGGAAGAATTATGTGTCACGATTTGATTAAGCAGTTGTCTCAATCGCCACTATATTTAGCGTGTTGCTAGAAAGATCTAACAGATTAACATAATATAAAACTCTTAATATACACTGAACTTCTTGTACAGAACTAACCTTAGAGTAAAAAGATCGTACTGACATTTCGCTCCTTATCTCTATTGTTCGAGTTGAGGTATGGAGGTAGTGGGTAAGAAGTTAGGAGTAAGTGTTTCCGTAGTAGACTTATCATTCACTACCTTACTAACTGGTTTCTTACCTTTACTCACTACTCTGTATCTCTATTGTCTTAACATGCGCTTCGAAGGTATGTACGATCGGGTATTAGTAACCTAAGAATTTTTGTTATTTTTAAAGATCAGGTTTCATAGAACTAAAGTAGAACAATATGAACTGTTGAAAAGTACATTCATTTTTTGTTTACCAGACAAGCCTTCTGTGGGAGAGAACAAACCAACTTCCAGCTGAAGAAGAAATTAGGAAAAGACGATGGAAATGGATAGGACATACATTACGCAAATCGTCAAACTGCATCACGAGGCAAGCCCTAACTTGGAATCTTGAAGGGAAGCGAAAAAGAGGAAGGCCAAAGAACACATTGCGTCGGATAATAGAAACAGATATGAAAACGATGAATTACAACTGGACGGAGCTAGAAAGGATTGCCCAGGATAGGGTTGGATGGAGAATGCTGGTGAGCGGCCTATGCTCCTTCACGAGGAGTAACAGGCGTAAGTAAGTAAGACAAATCTCTCACCTATTCTAGAAGTGACGCAATAAAATGTTAAAATCGAATGGGATTTTCTAAATTGGTGTCAAGATTTCTTATTTTAGATATCAACCCAATAGATTTTTAAAATCTTACAAGATAAGTAAAGTGATTAATCCGTTTAGTAACTTCACTTTTTATCATTAAGTCTCAAATTCAGATCCTATTCATAATTAATTCGATTTTAGCAACTGGATATCGCATCATTTATACTGTCATCTAAACCATAGTTCAAAGTGACCTATATGTTTATCTGTGTGTGTATAGAGGGGTTGGTTTTTTCAGATTGGTAGAATAATCATGTTTTGCTAACATTAAACACAATACAAGGTTACAATAACTCAGATAATCTGTTTATTTGTTTTATAAATGTGTATTTGTTATTCTCCATTCATATTCAGGTTAATCATGATAGTAAGGTTATTTAATTTAATTTAATAAAGAGTTAGTTTTTGAAGGACGAATGTTATATGATTACAGAGTGGAATGAAACACAATTTAATAGTATGAAATAGTTGCCTCATTGATAATAATAATAAATAGATGTAGCTTTACATCGTATGCACAATTAGCTTTGTTATATCCGAATGAAGAATAAATGAATGGTAACTGTTAGGGATTATTTATGAACTACTATCACGTCGTAGTGGCCGAGCGGTTTAAGGCGCCAGACTCGAGTGTTCTGGTCCACGGTGTGGGCGTGGGTCCGAATCCCACTTCCGACACATACTTACCACCCCCCGAATGCCTTGGTACGGCCAAGGGTGGGAAGAGTGAGCTCTTTCTCGGAATGCTCTCATATGACTACGCGTATACAATCACTGACAGGGAAGTCTTATTCACTGCCTTCTCACACCACGGATGTTGTTTAATAAATTGAGAGGACGAAAAGCGAATGTCCGACGCTTTAACCGGGGAGTTGAAAAACTCTCATTCCAAACTAATGGTGCACATGGGCTCCAGGATCCTAACAGAACAAATGGTGTATGAACCTATTGTTGGTCACCGGCCACCTAAAGTTGCTCCACTGACTTGTGGATCAATCATGTAGTTCGAAGGCTCCGGGTATGTCCCCTTAAGTAAACCACCTGCTTCGGTCAGGGCAACCGGGCAGTATCACAGACCACGCACAAATCGGACGATTTGTGTGGCGCATATGTATTCGGTGCCCCTTTGTACCAATATTTATGTGTCCAAATAAATAAATAAATAGATGGACTATTATTACGAATATTCTTATGAGATAATTATTAAGTACCTAGAATATACATATATTCATATTCCTTTTATCATAAGCTTTGATTCGACCTATAGACTACTATTATATGACTTACTATTCTTAAATTATTCCTAATTTATTAGTTACAGTCTCTCACAATCACAGACACTTTTTGGCTTGATCTTGTATAATCATTATTTTTCATTTTATGGTATGATACGATCTGATTTACTTGCATATAAATCAAGTATGTCTAGAATATATGATTCATACATCAGAAGCTGGTATTTGTGTTGTGAACTCAAAAGGCTGGGTTAGGCGAGAAGTTACCACACAGAGGACCAATAAGTACTCAGAATTGACTCAAGGCTGCTCCTGTTGGTTAACGCATCATTGATTTAGTACAGGGACAAGGCCATATAAAACGGTGTTTTGACTGACGATTTTGTCATAGGACATAACAAGTTTATTAAGATGTTGGCTGGTAATTTGTGTGAAATGTTTAAGGTTTCGAATTCATATGAACCTGAAGAGAACAAGTTCAATGTGAGACTTAAAGATCTTGAATTGTATTATTAAGGATACTATTAATAGATCCTCATTGCTGATAGTTGAAATATCTAGCTATATAATGTAATCGTTGCTTTTCTTTTCAGTTGTCCAACTGATATTAAACCATGACTAATTGATTATTTTAAATTTAAGTCTCTAATAAAATGACAAATAATGAAGATTTTATGTTCTTTTGAGCTGTTAAGCATTATTATTCATCATTATCATGTGTATATAAGCTAGGATACTATATGGATGCCTAAACCATGGTGTGCGGGTTTTTTTAATAGCCCAACCTGGAAGTCTAACTTGCAAGACAGTGGAGCAATGTCAGAGAATACAACTTTATATAGTAGTCGTATACCAGAATTGGTTCTCACTCCGATTGTTACCTCGAGATCCTCCAGTTTATGCATGCCATTAGTTTATAATAAGTATTTTCCAGCTTTTCTACGTAAATCTTTTGTAATGACCTGATAAGTCTGCTACTGAAACACTTACTCCTAACTTCTTACCCACTACCTCTACACTTCAACTCAAGCAATAGAGATAAGGAGCGAAATGTCAGTACGATCTTTTTACTCTAAGGTTAGTTCTGTACAAGAAGTTCAGTGTATGTTAAGAGTTTTATATTATATTAATCTGTTAGATCTTTCTAGCAACACGCTAAATATAGTGGCGATTGAGACAACTGCTTAATCAAATCGTGACACATAATTCTTTTTTTTTTCTGTCAGTGATCCTGGGAAGCTTCTATTCAAAGCTGACTAGATAAAACGCTTCTATGAGTTTTCTAGGATCCTAGAGGCTATGCCGAAGAATGTGTTTGGAAGCTGCAACAGTGAATGTTTATTGACTGAGGAGTTTGGAACACGTTTTATATATACCAACCATTGCCTACCTCAACAAATAATATTTGCTAACGTGGGTTGGAGGAAAGATAGGGGTAGTCAAATCGAAACGTAATATGAATCCATAAAGTGAGTGACTGTTAGACCAAGCTATGTAAGTAAATATAGACTACCTGGTTGGGGTCCTTGTAATTATCGTAACCAGTGGAAAAGTAGATGCATTAACTGTTTATCCTGAAATACTTATACTTTCTGTTCCATTAATTTATTTTATTTTCTCGAGTTATATCGTCAATGACTAAACTATTCTACTACTAACAACGATGTTACTAGTTCTACCACTCTGGTATATGTTTTGATAGTTTTACCTCACTGTACTGATACTAGTTGTGCAACTTGAACCGATGTAAGTCAGTAGGGACTTTGAACTTGGTTAGTTAAGATATAATACCTTCAATTACTAGTTCATAAATTCGAAGCCGACTCACACGTAATTCTGTTTGAATAACGAGATCTCACGAAGAACGAGAAGAAGAAGGGTGGAAAGATGAACAAACTAATAAGGAGAAAGATAAGAAAATGCATTCAATAAAATTACCATATCATTTGTACTAAATGCTGAAATTGATGCCGATACGCCGAAATCAGTTAACTTCACCAACCAACCACGTGATAATGCTAATAAATTAGCCAATGAACGTTGACAAAACGCTGATTGACTACCCGTACTGCATAACCAATTATGATCTGGTAAATCCATGGTACCATTTGGACTGCCAAAACCACTTAAACCACAGCCTGGTGCAGGTGTTAATAATAAATTAGCTGGTTTAATATCGCGATGTATAACACCGTTACGATGAAGAAAATGTAAACCGTCTATTAACTAGAAAAAGAAATGCAGAGGGAGAGTGAGGGATGGAAAAAACGACGATAGTATAGAAATATGCTATATATATATATATATATATAGATGAAAGTCGTCAATTGGATGTGCCTTCATCCGTGTTGACGTTTGCACTGAGACTCGAACTGAGTACCATTATACTCACTGAACAATCTAATGGTTATTCGGATTCAGTGGTTTAGTTAATAGCTCCTTGGGTGTTAGAAGTGAAAGATACTAGGTTTAAGTCTTAATGTGAATATAAAAACACTGAGATCCAGGCACAAACAGATGACAAGCCGCACAGTAGACGAAACGCCCATTCTGGATTCCACGGTTAGTCATATACTGAATATACAAAACTTTTGGCATAATGCTACATGGAGGTACTATCAGGATCTACATATGGCAAAAGGTATTGATCAACTGTAGACCTGAATATCAACAACGGGAAGTCAAAAAGTCTTAACAATATAATTCACAGGATTTACGATGAGTTCTTTTATCCCCATCAAAAATATGTTTCTATTTGTGACAATACACTTGGTCTATCTCCATTTGAATTGATTAAAAAATGGACAGAAGGATTCAAAAGTTAGACTATTCAATTAGCTCAGTCTTACATCACATATTAATTTTACATTACCTTCATGACACATGCCCCTTGCATGACCATTTGACATTTCGGAAAGAAAACTATTAGGGAATAATGTGAGGATGTGTGACGGAATTTTAGTTAGAAATTAAGATTGAGAGTCATAGTTCCAGATTTTATCACAAACTGACATCAGCTATAATGCAAGGATTATAAACTTCATATTTTTATGTCAAATCTTAACATGATGAATTATAGATTAATCTTCCGTCTCCTGATTAATTAAATGACTTAACTACACCTTTTTTGCCTGGCCACGCTAAAAGGTTCGGGTTGTGGCCTCTTAATAAAACTATATGTTTCTGTTTGAACACCTGGACAATATCTCAACCCAACACATCAATTCAATGATAACTTATGAGGTGCATTCATATTTTGGTGCATCATTGTACCAATTTTTATGAAGATGACCAACTTTAGAAGCTATTTTAGCGGGAGATTCAGTAATTACATTACGAAGATGTATTTATTAAGTATTTGGTTTATGTGCTTATTATATTCCCTTAAGTTATAGATTTCTATTCGGTTAATGAGCTATTTTTATATCCTTTTTTCTGTAAGGAAATTTTTTTAAATGAATTATAACCCTATTAATCAGATTTCGTACCGCAAATGTTCTAATTAGACACAAGTAATATCTTATTTATGGTGTGATGTGATCCTGTAATTAATAAATCATTATGTGAATTTGTTGGTGAGACAATAACTTATGGACGATCTTTAAGTGACGCCAAAGTAACCTTGAGGGTGTCTACCTACTTACTACCGTTAAATGAGGGTTATAAACCAGTTAGAATTATGATTTACAGATCATGGTTAGGGTCAAGAATTAGATTTAGGGTTTTCATCACGAACTAACATCACCTAAAATACTAAGACGCTATCTGGCCAAATGGGTGAGTAGATTTCGTACCAAAATCCAAGATCTGTTATCCTAAATCTGATTGGCTCGTCCATAAATTATAGTCTCGCCAATTTTTTTAGTTGGATATACAAAAATTCCACTAACTGTTTGAATTTCATTTTCCGATTGGGGCTTTGGGAGGACAAAAAACTCGGAATAGCTTAATAAACGTTAAAACATAAGATAATTGAATAGGAGCATCAGTACCATTGGTTCTCGAAAGTAGTAAATATATATGTACAGTACTGATGAACTAAATTTGGGAAAAATTGTTTAGGTGTACAATTTTAGAGCAAACATGTGAAATGATAAGGCAGTTGAAAAGATTGAGTTGTGCATACTTATTTATAGACCGTCTGAACAAGTTAGTATTATAAACAAGGAGTACTACTAACGAGAGTTAAGATATATGTACCTTGAAGTTTGTAAGAAAAATCTCATGTATTTAATATTAAGCAGACTATGCATATAAATTGCCTTTTTTCCTCATATCTTTACATCTTAGGATCAGTCAGCTAAGTTATCCAATTTTATAATAAGACTGGCCAAAAAGTAGTAATATCCTAAAAAAACGCTTCCGTTGTTTGTTATTGCTTTTTCATTTTTATCGTCATAATACCGAATTATACCTACGAACGAATGATGAGCATGCAAATCTCTTCAATGTCATGGCGCATTCATCAAAATAGAGTCAAGATGTGGAGTTAAAGTATTTTTCATTACAGGCAAATATAACCTATAATGCGAAAATTCTAAACTCTATCTCATAAGTCCTAGTATAAGAAATCGTTCATTTATCTTCACTGTCTCTTGACTGGCTAAAACTAGTCAAAATCTGAAGGTCGTTTGCCTTTATCCCTCCCTTCAGTTGGGAGCAGGAACAAGGACAAAGTATAGGATCCGAATAATAATAAAATTTAAAATTTACATCACGAAATGATCTTGATTGGCCAAGCACTAAAAATTAGAATGGGTCGGACGGCTGTATCGTTCTAGTGAGGATCCACAACCCTAATTCAAAGGGGTACAAGATTTTCAGGCGGACGTCTAACCTTTCAAAGTAATTGAATCGGCAGCATCCAATGTTTTACATGTTCAGCTTCAACCAATTCGCTAATATCATCATTATTGCTATTATTAGTTCGCGGTGTAAATTATGAAACTCAATAATCAACACAAACTACCTATAGGGAAAAGATAATAATGATTTACCTGTAAAAAGTAGGCATGCGCTTGTGCTTCAGGAAGTCGACGAAATTGTTGTTGTTGTTGAGAGGATGTACGTTTTCTTGTTGGTTGTTCTATGGATGATGTTTTACGACTTTTTGATTTATTAAATTTTGTATCTGTTTCTTGATTGATCTGTGTAGATCCCATTGATAATCTAGGATGAAATCGACGAGATTTATTCAACTTTTCAGAAGAATCAACATTTTTTCTTTTATCTTTTGAAATGTTTTCATTTAATACAACATCTGATGATTGTCCATGTTGATGTTTAAAATATGATAATCGTGGAGAGGATGATTTAGCATTGAATTCATCTAATTCAAATTCATTTTCTGAACTTAAAGCTGTATGAGATGGTACACCGGAAGCTTGTAAATCATGTACTGATCCAAGACAATGCTCCATAACTAAACATAATCTATCTGGATTTTCTAATCGTAATACAACAACTAATGAAACCACATGTCGACAAGCAGATAATCTTCGCATTAAACTAGCTTCATGTAATGCTTGACTCCAACCACCGGGAATTTTTCGTACACCTAGTTTACTAATAATTTTTACAGCATGACGTCGAAGTGTAAACAGATCAATACAATCTTTTACCTGAATAAACAAAATAAAATATTATAATTTTTTTTAGAAAAACCAAATAAAAATTATAAATATCTTATGTAGTATTCAGGAATAAAGAAGTATCGAAACATATAACGTGGAATCTGGTGGGCAGCAGTCAAATTAAAAACAGTGACCTAGTTCAATTATTGACTGTTTAAAATTCTACTGATTGAGTTCCAAAGTATTTCAGGTTTTAATACACTTTTTATTGTTATTATTGTTGTGATAATTAAATTAATCCATAGTGTCGTTGAATAAGAGGAAGAGAATTCAGTGAAAAAAATCTTCCTTTCGACGAAATCATCCACTTAAGCTGTACATTTGTATATATAGTTATATGGAAAATATATGTCTATAGGAGGATAGAAAAGATTGCATCACTAAAATCGATTTGAGAATAAATAACAAATGAGGTTACGTACTAATCAAGGGGTAAGAATTCTAACTAAGACTCTGGAAATTTCCTCTCGAAGGTAGTCACTAGTAAGCACATAATTTCAATGAAACTCAACAATATTCACAACTTTTTACTGATAACATTTGGAAGCTGGTAATTTTGATAGGAGATACAAGTTAACTGATCTATCTAATTTATCCAATCAATCAATAAATTAAAATGCAAATCACTGTGATGAAATGAAAGAAAAATCTCGTTTAGGAGAGAAATTAATCTACAGGATTTCAGTATAAAGACTAGATGATATGATACATGAAACCTACTTATCAGTCAAAAGTCAGATAGGAATGCATAAAAATTCACTTTACACAATGAGGTTATAAACTTATTTTGTACGATGGATGTTATTATCATTACGACTACTAATCATTTCTATGCTTCATTTTTCGTAAATTAAAGATTACATTAGTTGCTTACAAATTATTGATACTATTACACTTTACTAACTGACTACACAGAGTTTAATCAACTGTTAAATATCGAATACTTATCATTTACCATTACTGAGAAACACCTTTGTATCACTTGGTATTGTTTGACTTGTATCTTCCCATTGAGGTTTAAGACTGCAATTGATCAGTCTGTTATTAGCATATGTGCATACTGTTCGTATGCCTCGATATTGCCTTAATTCACAAGCTTTTTGTAAGCAATGATGGATAGTGGCTAGCAGTGGAATCTAGGACGCGGGTTTCGTCCTGGGTTCGAGTTCCAGGGTGAACATCAACTCTGAGATGTAGATACATCCAGCTGATGAGTCCCAAATAGGATGAAACGCGCATTCTGGACTCCACTGCTAGCCACTATCCATCATTGCATACAAAAAACCTTGTATCAGTTCAATTTAGTATAATTAATATCTTTATCTATAGTAGTAAACCAGAACTATAAGAGTGAACTAATGATGTTGACAATGATGAATGTATAAATCTCTCTAAGGTCACGGAATATATTTTGAATCAACAATATGTCTACTCGATTAATAAAATAGATTATTTGACTAAGTTATTGTTACTTCTTGATTGTATTATGAATAATTTAATTCAAGAAAATATCTTAACCTACTTTAATGATGAAAAACAACATCATTAGATATTTGAATTAAGAATTAGGATTGAGATTTAGGTATTCAGTTTGGAATTATATTGTTATAGGAGTGATCAAAATGAAGAGTTAAGGCGTAGAGTTTATTATTTAGGATTAAGAAATTTGGGAACATATATTGACTAACTGTAAAACCCTTAAATTCTAGCTTTAAACCATAATATTTAACTGGTTGAAATCATGAGTCAATTGAAGCTAGACCACCATGGAAAACCTGGAAGCACTGGGCGGTCGTCGAACCCAGGACCTATCGGTCTCGCGCCAGGCGTTCAACCAACTAGACCACAGGGCCGGCATCCAACGGTGTTAATGTTCGAATCTCGCGGGGGGGGGCGGGATCGTGGATGCGCACTGCTGAGGAGTCCCATACTAGGACAAAATGGCCGTCCAGTGCTTCCAGGTTTTCCATGGTGGTCTAGCTTCAATTGACTCATGATTTTAACCAGTGAAATTTCTAAAAATCTCCACAAAACCCATTCTGATCATAATATTGAACTTGAATTCTAGTTTTGGAATTATGAATCGCTGATTTACATGAACTTGCTGTTTTCTTATTGTTGTGGATGCGCAGGAATAGACCAATAATTATCATGTTAAGTCCAATGGTGTCCTTGGACTTTAAATGGAATTTCCTATTGGTCGATATCTGTTCACTTGTACAAAATGTTGTTTCTATTTTTATGGTACGCTGTGGTATGCTTGACTGGTATATAAACAAAGTATGTTTGAAATATAGTGATTCATATCTCAGAGGTTGTGACTTGTCTTCTGGACTCAACTGGCTGGGCTGGACAGGGAAGCAGGACCAATCGAGACTCTAGGCCGTCCGTACGTGTTTGCGTGTCATTGTAATCGATCGATAACACAGGGTAGAAATCAACATCAATTTAAAGTCATAACACTTATTCAGATAAATGTGTGTTAAGAGTTTGTCAAAATTATTTAGAAATTTGTTCAAACTCCCTTTTATAGTTTAGCTTGAATTAAAAAATACAATAAACTACAAGGTGGTACGTTATTCTAGAAGTTGAACAAGACAATCGGGAAAAAGCCACCAACATAAATTCTAGTAATATATAGTATACGACAAGCAATGGAATTTCGTATGTATGTTCCATTCTACTTGAAACTCGTCAAATGAATATACCTGTCACATCCTAATATTGATGTTGTGCACATTAAGATTCAGACCTAGTACCCAATGCTTTAAACGGCTAACGTGTGGTTCATTTAGACTACTGAGTACCGGCAGCCAATAACTTGTTCAACACAGTGTTATTAAATGTTATTATCAGAACATAATATAATAATGGAAGTATTTACAGGTGTACAATACAATGAATTACAGTATTTCAGCCATATTAGAGTCCTTTTTTCAACAGAAATGAGAGGGATTTCCTGGAGAAAAAAATCTCACAATGAATTAATTTTTTCGTGAGATATTTATTTTCAGAACGGGTTTTGTGGAGATTTTAGTAATTTCAATAATTGAAGCTAGACCACCATGGAAAATCTGGAAGCACTGGACGCCCGTTTCATCCTAATATGGGACTCCTTGTGGACTGGTTGAAGTTAGACATTAACACCGCTGGATGCCGACTCAGACGTTTAATGGTTAAGCGCTCGCGCGCGAGACTGATGGATTCTAGGTTCGAATCTTAGGGGAGGCGGGATCGTGGACGCGCACTGCTGAGGAGTCCCACACTAGGACGAAACGGCCGTCCAGTGCTTCCAGGTTTTCTATGGTAGATATTTATTTGACCAATCTGAAAGGTATTCAATTCTACTTATACATTCTGGACCAAATTTACACAGTAAAATAGTAATGTTGATAGTTAACTATTGAGAATTAGTATGTTTCATAAAACTTGATCGATTTAAGTTTTCCACCAACAATTGCTTTATAACTCACTGAATTGTGTAATTGATGTTTATTTTTGACATTTAATTTACTATACAATGGTATTAATTCATTCAGTTAGTTTTGCTTCAAATTTTAGACGCCATTATTTTTTGTTTCGTCAGTTTTCACATCCCAATTGTGTTAGAAAGTCGGCTATAGGTGTGTGTCTATGTGTGTGGGGGGAGTGAGATATTTTATAAAAGTATAAGAAAAGATTAATGAAGTTTCAAAATGTTACTTCAACGTCACATTAGGTAATTCGAATGAATACATTGAATATCAATCATCTACCATCTAATACCGACAATAATGAAATGGAATACAAGGTAAGGAACTGCTTGGGAAAATTAATTTTTTTGTGATTGTATTGCAAAAAATAAGACAAGTGGAATATTAAGATAAATGTGATCATGTTATACCTTAGCGCTAACTACGTAGGCATAGGAAGTCTTGGTAAGAGCTGACTTTATTCTTACTATTTTATTTATTCATCTGGACCATAAATATTGGTACAAAGGGGCACCGAATACATATGCGCCACACAAATCATCCGATTTGTGTGTGGTCTGTGATACTGCCCAGTTGCCCAGACCGAAGCAGGTGGTTTACTTAGGGGGACATACCCAGAGCCTTTGAACTAAAGGATTGATCCACAAGTCAGTGGAGCAACGTTAGGAGATGCAGTCCCATGGTGGCCAGTGACCAACAATAGGTTCATACACCATTTCTTCTGTCAGGATCCTGGAGCCCATGTGCACCATTCGTTTGGAATGAGAGTTTTCCAACTCCCTTAGGTGGTTTCTCCATATCCACCAACCCGATTAAAGCCTCGGACATTCGTTTTTCCTCCTCAATTTCTTAAACAACACCCATGATGCGAGAAGGCAATGAATAGGACTTTCCTGTCAGTGGCTGTATACGCGTGGTCATGTGAGAGTATTTCGAGAGGGAGAGCGGACTCTCTCTCCACCCTCGACTACGACATGTCATTTGAGGGAGATGGAAAGTGACTTGTAGACAACTAATACTTTTTTTAAAAAATAATGAATTGGACCACATAAACACTGATAAATGATGCAGTTGTCTTTATTGATGCAAACCAAGTCAAAAAAGGGCAATAGTATTAATATTGTAGAGAAGTGTGAGTAGAAATGTTGATGAGAGAAACACTGTTTATAGGTGGGATGGGTTTAATTGTAAATATTGAAGAAATAGTCCTTTGGAAAAGAAAGTATGGTAGATGTTGTGGATGCGGAGGAATAGACCAATAATTATCATGTTAAGTCCAATGGTGTCCTTGGACTTTAAATGGACATTCCCTATTGGTCGATATCTGTTCACTTGTTGAATATTGAACAAAATGTTGTTTTCTATTTTATGGTACGATGTGGTATGCTTGATTGGTATATAAACAAAGTATGTTTGAAATATAACGATTCATATCTCCAAGGCTGTGACTTGTGTTCTGGACTCAAGTGACTGGGCTAGATCGGGAAGCGCAAACCAATCGAGACTCTAGGCCGT